GGAAGATTTAAAGGAGTTTTCCTTTTGCAATTCTTGCCTTTGCATCTTTCCACTCCATTCAAAGCTATGATTGCTCTTTCTCCTTTATCCATTTAGGCATATTCAGGTACAATTACTATAGAAGATCTGTAGAAGGTCTTAAAGAAAATAATTTTACAAGTGCATGGTATTATTTCTAGAACACTGTGGGGTTTTATCCTGTTTGTGCTAAGCTCCCATCCAAACTATTCCCTTTATGAAAGTTTTCCTAATAAACCAAGATCATAACCTGGTTTTCATGCAGATAATGAAAAGCAGTGGTTGCAGAGAGAGCTACTACTTTTCTCTTTTCTATGTTTCATTCAGTAGTTAAAAGTCTGCATAATTCTAAATGTTTGAAGGTAGCATAAACTTAATATCAAAGCAAAAGTGGGTATTTGCATGAAATGGGAACATCAGGTCCTGGAAATGAAAAGCGTGCTAGGTGTACACTGGCAAGCATTTCAATTTTTAAAGGTCTAAATTTAAATAAGAATTTTGAAGCACAGTCCTATATGACATTTTTAAATGTTAATATGGTTTGGATTATAGTGTTCTAGACTGGTTGATAAGTATTTCTGGAAAGCACACTTCAAGCAATGGTATTCAATGTTCTTGTTAACTTGGCTGATAGAAGAGTGAGTGTGTTTATTGCACCATCAGTGTTGTGTGAGCTCCAAGGTTAGATGTGCTAGAAAGCGAGGTTAGAGCAGTTTTTGAACATCAAAGAAAAGGTCTGGAAACATTGGGTTAAGTTTTCAGTGGTGAAAAATGCAAAATTCTACACAAAAAATGGCAATCAAATAATGCAAATGTAGGTTAGGAAGTGTTGGGCAATTGTAGCTCTGCAGAAAAGCATCTGCAGGGAGGGGTTTTGAAACCAAAGAGGTCCCACTGGGACATAGGGTCAGGTGGCTAACTTGAGGCCCAGGGAAAAATTGTTTGTGCTCTGCTGATACATCTTCAAGTAATTTTTGTGCTCAATTGTAGGCATCCTGTCTTAATAAGGGTGAAATATACTTACATTTCATACGCAAATTACATGCATTACAACTGGAGATCCATAAGACAAGAAAGAGAATGAGGGTGATCATAAGACTACAAAATAAAGCTGATAAAGAAAAACTGAGACATAGCATCATCTGTTTGGGAGAGGATGAAGGGAAGGCTAGGAAAACAGTGGGAGTCACAAGTTCAGGGAACTTGCACTAAGACAGGTGTGGATGTCTCAGGTCACCCAGGGGGTCTGAAAAGTCTCTCTCACAAAGCATCATTGTAAACATGACCAGGAAATAATCCTCACTAGTAACTGTCTTGGGGAAGAAAGTGACCACAATTTGAGTCTGGGCATTCTAGACCTTCCAAAATGTCACATAGGCACTACAGAGTAGAGAAGCAGTATAAAAGTTTTTTATACTTCTGGAAGGATTGAGGGGATTAAATAAACAAAGAGGAGGTGCAAGAGTATCTTAATTTGGTCAGTCTTTGAGGCCTTGTCTCTAGACCCTCGTCCAAAATTAGGTCACCGAAAAAACATCAAAAATCAATTTCAGCAAGAAGAACTTAGTTTTAATGGAAATAAAATCAGAACAGTTCATTTTCTTAATTGGGAAAACTCTCAACAACTGATTCAGACAGTTGGAAATAGGAAGGTTGGTATTTCTTCCCCAGCCCACTGTGTCTCTGCAGGCAGATTCTCATGTCCATGGCTGGTTGTAGCCAACTCATTGACTTTTTTGAGCAGCAGTAGATTTTTCCCAGTGGTCTTTAGGAAATTTGCCCTTCTCCTCCAATCCTCTGGTGCTTGGATATCTCATCTCTCCCTAGGCAAGAGCAACCTATACTCCTTTTTTTTTTCTAGAGGGTTGAATCTAAATGCTTCACTTTTTAATGGAACACAATATATCATTGTAAATACTCAAGCAACACCAACACCATGGTGTTGCTTGAGTATTTGCAATGATATATTGTGTCCCATTAAAACACCTTCTTGATGGAAGGTGTTTTAATGTGTTCCATCACACCTTCTTGATGGAAAGAATGCCAAATTAAGGTGATGGTAAACAAGGACAAATAATTTCTGGAGTGTAAGGCCAAAAGGGATCACTCTTGATGTCTACATAGCCTCTTCAGTAACATAGATCAATAAATTTCTCTGAAGTATTTTTTTGTCTGACAAAGGTGTTTTTCTTACTCCTTTAGATACCAAATTTTTAAATTAAAACTTGCAGCTGAAAAACCTGTCCCAACGGGTTTTTTTGAAACATTGTTCCAGTGGTTAGTTAGACTTGCTGCTGAAAATCTGTGATTTATTTCTGATTTTCACTTGTCATTCTCTGGTTCCTGTGATATTTTCATCTGCCAGGCTTAAGACATAGTCAGAGGCTTGCTCACTCTATTCATGCTGACCCTCTGGGACCAGATCATCTTCTAACTTCCTCTTTGGTAAGCCAGCAGTTTTGAGTTTCCCAGTGTGGGACATGTATTTGAAGCCATTACTCATCCCTGTGGCTCTGCCACGAGCCCTGTGTATTTTACCATTATCTTTAATAACACTGCAGAAATAGTGGCATGTATTAAATAAGGGGCGGGGGGGAATTAATTTCCACTTAATACTTCCCAATACATTTCTTAGGCTGTTTTTGTACTGTCATTAGAGGGGGGGACTTGCTTACATACCACCCAGAAATATCTTCTCACTGGTTCCTATTTACTCTCCCTGAGCTACACATGCTATTGCCCTTACCTAAATATTTAGATTTGATTGCAAAATCCACAATGCAATCTCTTCACTTGGCAACTCTCCAATATTTGTCTTATGAAGAATTTAGATTCTAGCCATCTTATTTATTTTTTTTTCTTAAGTAACTGGCCAAGTGTCAAATGTATTAGATTTAAGCTTAATGGAAATGGGAAAAACATTCCAACACTTGCTTGAAAATGTATAAAACTATGATAACTTTCAATTTGCATGGTTGTATTTCTGAATTTTCATCATTTGTTTCTGGCAAGTTTTTTGCTTGCCGATCTCTACATGTATGTAGCTGTATACAAAGAGATACTCCATATTTATCCTTTTGACAGAAATAATGTTTTTTTTTTGTTTGGATTTTTTTGGGTTTTTTTTGTTTGTTTGTTTGTTTGTTTTGGTTTGGTTTGGTTTGGTTTGGTTTGGTTTTTTGAGTTTGTTTTTTTTTAACAAAAATCACACTTCAAAACAGGGCCCATATTGGTAAGTGTTGTGTTTTGATAGTGTCAAAACTTGCTAGTGACATTTTAATAAAGGCAACTGATTTTTCAGTTCGAGCAATTTTCAGTGTTTATTTAGGAAAAGTTTAGAAATCTTAAAACAACTTAAAGCAGAAGAAAACCCATGTTTATCCTTTTGACAGAAATAATGGGGTTTTTTTGTTTGGATTTTTTTGTTTTTGTTTTTTTTTGTTTGTTTGTTTGTTTTGGTTTGGTTTGGTTTGGTTTGGTTTGGTTTTTTGAGTTTGTTTTTTTTTAACAAAAATCACACTTCAAAACAGGGCCCATATTGGTAAGTGTTGTGTTTTGATAGTGTCAAAACTTGCTAGTGACATTTTAATAAAGGCAACTGATTTTTCAGTTCGAGCAATTTTCAGTGTTTATTTAGGAAAAGTTTAGAAACCTTAAAACAACTTAAAGCAGAAGAAAAATATTTTAATATCCAAAAGGCCTCAAGATTTATTAAAAAGCCAGTCAACCAAAGGAGCTTTCAAAATGTTTATTCCTGTGGGGTATTTAGAAGTTTTTTTAATTTAATTATTCTTTGAAACATTCTGTAATTGTCAGATTTCCTCGGGCACAATAATTACTGTGCCTGGCCAACACTTACATTTGAACCTCAGGCACTTTTAAAAGTGCTGTGGGCAGGTCAGAAGGACAACAAACCCCCAGATAATGCAAAACAGGAAGGAATTGTAAGACATGGCAGCAAAACAGTGACTCATGCGGATGGCAAGCCTTTGGGATGGTGTGATTCACATGCCTTATCGTGCCTGCCTGCAGAGCAGCAGGGCGGAGGGGCTCAGCCAGCTGAGCACTTCCACTTGCAAACAGGACACGTCTGCTGGCAGCAACTGCAAGTAACTCTCGGAGAAGAAAAGCTCCATTGGATGTGCAGTGCTCAGCCCTGTGAAACCTGCACCTCCACTCCCACCCTGCCTCCCTGGGGAGCCTTTCTGCACCTTGTGGAGACAGCACGCCACAGATCAGTTCTGTTCTCTCAACACCAGGTGCTGTGAAGACCACACTGGATCCTTTTCCTCTTTCTTGCCCGAAGGCTCTCTGTATAGCCCTTAACTAGCTCACATCAACCAAAGTAAACTTGACAGATATTTGTTTAATCCCCCAGGACCATCAGCCTTTCCCTTTAACATCTGCAGACAGCATTTTGCATGGGTGAACGAGAAAGTCAAGGGACAGGGTCTAGATGGGAAAATCCAAACTGCTCCCATCATTGCGTGTACTTTCTGTTATCTCCAGAATAACTGAAGGGACTTTTTTTTTATTTTCACCTTTCTTATTTCAAGCTCCTTTTTCCACCCCACAGAGACACCACAATCATCTCTAAGTCTTCTCCCATAGTCTCCCTTTCAGCAAAACAGGAGATCTTGGCTCCTTCCTGTTTCTCCTTGAGTTTTTCAGGACAGACATCAGGACTCCACAACAAAGCCAATCACTGTCAAGGAGCAGTGAAGCAGCGGGGGTTTGGTAAGACAGTTCCTGGAGCAGAGGACATATTCATGGGGTTTGCAGAGCTCAGTGCCAGGTGTGGAGTATATGCTGTTACCAGCAAGGGGCAGGGAAAACAGCATTCTCTTACAGAATGTGTTATCAAGTTCAGTGCTGATGAGGAAGTGTGTGGGTGTTAAGGGATAGCAAAATTTCCTCTTTTCACAGTTGGCCAATCCCACCAGCCTCATGAGACACAACTGCCCCATTGATTGCATATTTACCTCAGAGGACCTGCTTGGTGCAATACCGCTCAGTGCCAACACTTCTTGAAAGTTCTTCTCATCAGATCCCAAATGCTTTATCTGAAAGTTTTAAGTCCACAATACACCTAGGCAGCAAAATCTGCATTGTTGTTGTTGTCGTTGTTGTTGCTGCTGTTGTTGTTGTTGTGAATGGCAATATGATTTCTTGTGTTTTCCACTGTCTTCAGACTCTGTTTCCTTCTCCTTCTTTCAATGTTCCTGTGTCCACAGAAATCTGTGAGAATGTGTCACATTAGTATTGTCATCTGCTGGAAGTAATTTTAAAAAATTACCCAACTGGCACCTCCATGAACTATTACACTAGATACAAACAACAGGCCTAGAGACCCTGCCCTGTGTATCATTGCAAATTATTTGTCTTTTGACGCATGCTTTTTCAGCTAAAAGAAAAAATTAATCCTGAAGTAAATAAATGAAGCTCACTGTCAGAGCATTCACATCTCTACACATGCAAATAATTACTAGAAGTTAACAATGTTTGCTAAGTCACAAAAGAGCTGTCTTTCACACAATTATCTTACAAGCACTAGTCTTCTTTTTTGCCTCAAAATGCTTTGCATTAATTCAAATATTTGGATGTTGGCAATGAATGAAACATCCCCAAACTGAAAGGTTTTTTTTAGGAAGATAAAATTACTGATTCAGATGAATTCTGGAACAATAGATTAGCTCAAGACTCAGACAACACTTGCACAACTGACTTTCCAAATCTGCTTCTGGTAGAACAAGAAAATAACGTATTAAAAGGTATTAAAATTAAATTAAGCAAATATCCATAACAACAATGTGTTTCCATCACGTTAAATTTGGCTGATAACCTGACTGTATGCATGTCTTAAGAACTTCCTAATTAGTTACAAGTATTCTCAAGATACGTGTTGTCATGCAGCTTCCTTTTCCATAAATAGATGGGCCCATGGGCAATATTATGTGGTCACTTCCAACAAAATGGTCCATACATTTTGGAACACAGGTAGTTTCAGAAGCATTACAGATTAATTTGAAGTCTACTCTTGTCTCTACTGTAAGACTTAGAGAATGACCTTAATTATTCAGGTATGAAGGAAACCAAGGACAATGCCAAAACATATTCTGTTAATTCACATAGTTTATACTTAAGAGATGGGTCTACCTTCTTGTGGCTTTTTTGATTTTTTTTTTAATTTCACAAATACCCCTCAGAGCAATAGACAGAAATATACTGCATGTTTTGACAGCAAAACAAAACCAAAAGTTAGCAAAATTTATTTAAAAGCATTATCCCTGAGATGAAAACAAACATCTGTCTTTCTTGGCAATTTGCACTGAAACTTATTCTCATTACAGAAGTCTATTCAATATTAACTATTTGTAAGCACTAGAAAATCCAGGTATAAGAAACTCTTTATATAGGTGCTTGGATTAGCACAAAACCAGTACAACAGCATCAGGATCTCTGCTAATCTGTGTCAGATTTCATTCTGGACTGCACGGTGTTTCACACTGTCTCACTTGCTCTTGTGACCACACAAAGCGAGTATCTTCAAGGAATGTTTTTAAACCTGACCATTTCCAGAATGCAGCATGGCAGCCTCTGATTCAAACTGTGCCTTTTCCTTACAAAATCAAGATTTACTACGATGAATGAGGATGAGGATGTAGCTGAGGATGAATGGGCTCACCAAGAAAGGACTTTTTTTTTTAATATAAAAAGGAAACATAAAGAATACCACAGTCTGGTAATTGGCTCATCATACTCTGCACCAGGCTTTCCACATCCCTAGCCTTCTGATTAGACATAATTTCTCCATCAGTATTTGAACCTTGTATTTAAAGCTGCCTCACCTTCTTCTAACCAAGTTCCTCATCAATCTCCATCACTGCTTTGAAAATATAGTGTCTTGTGCCAGCATGGAGAGGGGCAGGACATGGAGAAGTGGTGGGAATTGTTAATCTGGGCATAGTTTCCAAAGTCTGTGTGTCTGTTACTGGTGCAGTGAAGGGTGTGCTGCCTTGTAGCCAAGAGTCACAGACATTCCCTTCCCCTTCGCATCCAATTCACAGTGCGCCCAAGATTTTTTAAGTTGAGCTTTGTTGAATTTGTAAGGGTATCCTGCTTGAAATCAACTCCCAGAAATCAGTCTTCTGTCTAAGAGCCTGGTGTAAATGACAGTCATTATAATTAGCAGCCACAATAACCACTTCCCTCTAACCATCCACTGAAAAACATATTTATCAAACACCTGCCTGTTTCTAGCTGCTGAAATATATGCAGTGTTCTTCCCACCACTGTGGATTCTCAGAAGGCTTGTTCATTGGTACTACTACACAAAGGGTGTGTCGTCTCAAGCATGTTTGTGGAAAAAAAAAAAAAGCATATGTTGAGCTGAGTTCAGCTCTCTGCAGCCAGCTGGCTTTTTTGGGTGAAACTCAGAGTTAAATATAGACCTGGATAGACACAAAGACAGTCAAGAACAAGTCAAGACATGACAGCAATACACAAAATTTCTGTGACTGGTACACTTGTGTGAACAGAAAACTACAGCAGGAAGGAAAGTCAAGAAAGCACTAGCTAGCTAGCTCTCCCACTCAATAGAAAGTATAACATGCCCTATTCAAATTTGCACTCAATGTATCTCATGTGGGTAGTTTTTATTGCTTTAGGAAACAATATTGTTCATGCTTTCTTCCTCTTCCTATGTTTTGGATTTGCAACTTATTTTGGATTTTATTAAAGAGGGTCCTGGGATTTTTCTTCCTGTTACTCACTATAATTAAATAGTGTTTATGTACTTCTGAGTTGAAAGCTTTCCAAAATATTTTTTCTTTTCATTATCAATCATTAGTTCTTTTGCCTTTTTTCTTTCATGACTCAGTCCTTTCTTTTCAGACATCTTGTTACTCCTTCCTAACTTGCATGATAGGCTAAGCTTTCACACCAAGACATTTGGCACTTGCTCTCTATAGCTTGTTTTGTTTTATTTTCCCTGTGCAAATGCGTTCTCCTTGGCCCATAAAGTCAGTTCTGTCAGCCGGTAGATTCTACCCATAAGCACCTCTGACCTCTGACTTAGTCTCTGTTCCAGACAGAAATTTTGTTTCCTTTTTCATTTTCTGAAATGTCTGACATACTTCTCAACTGTTGTTAGTATCATTGCCCCCTTCCATATTATATATTGTCACTCTGGTTTATTCTGCTCTGAATACATAAGCAGTTGCTTCCTTTTTTCTCTTCTCATTTAGTCCATTGACCTCCATCCCCTCTAAATTTTTGGGGCTTGGAGTCTTAATTTGAGTACTGTTAATAAAGAGTAAATACTCTTAGAATACCTCAGATTACTTAACTCTTGAACTCAAGCCTGCATGCATTTTGCTAAGGTCTCATTACACCCTATTAATTTTGAAAAAGGCTTATATGATAAAACTTGTAGGTGACCTCAGCAGTAAAATGTTTTTGCTAGGTCATTCAGACATTAAATATTTAGATTTCCAGATTTGTAGTATCTTTTTCATTCTCATGTGTTAAAAACACAGTGTAAGACTGGGGATCATGATCCATGGATTCTTCTTGCTTGCATTGAATGACCAACAGGAAAACATTGTTTAATTACTAGGAAAGGGAAAACATTTTAACTGAAGAGCACAAATTATTCGTCTGTTTGTGCCCATTCACAGAACTCTAAGTTTAACACATGGGAGAGGGGCTTCCTTGAGATTTCAGACAACAGGACCCCAGCGAAAAGATGATGTCAGAACAGAATCCTCAGTCTTTCCTAAAAAGAATCAAGAAAACCCTCATTTGTCAATAAAAGAGATAGACTCAAGAAAAACCTGATCTGGCAATAAAAAGCTTTCTGAAGTCAGCAGGAGACAAAAGCTCTAAAAGTAAATGTTTTATAAGTGAAATCACAGGATACACTAAAAATCCCCAACTATTCTCATTTCCCTTTTTATTGCCTGTTTGTAAGATCATTCCTTTACAATTTTTGAGGGCTTAGCAGATCTTTTGAATGTATTGAATTTCCTCTTTCTTCCTGACTCTTTTTTTCCACTGAAACCTCTAGATACTTGTCTCTCAATAATGATACAAACGGATGTAGCCACCCACAGCCTTGCGGTCAGTCCTTCATTCTTTTTATTCATAAATGCCCACATGTTATGACCCCCTTCCAATCCCATTTTCTAGCTGACTGCAATGTCTGGTTAGAGGGGCAGTGCTAATATCAGCCAAGGAGAAATCATGAACACGCAAGCAGGAGAAAAACTGCAGCTGATACTAAAAATAAGAAGTTGCAATGTTAATAGCAAAAGTGCTAACAGGAGGAAAAAGTTTTGCCTATCGGTTTTCTGAAAGCAAATGTTTATCTTGTTTTGCCTTACACATCTCAGCCTCACATTCTCAGAAGTTTCTTTATGCTGTGTCACCTACCAGTGGAAGATTTCATTAATTCATCTAGTGAATGAAAATCCAGTCTATTAATTAGTGATTAAAAATGTACTCAATCCCACCAACACACATGGGAGCAGCAAGCTGAGCTTTTAGTGCCTTTGAAAGAGAGGCCCATCACCTTGAAACTAACACATTCATGAAGCTTGATAAGTGAAGCATGGTCACTAATTACATACTGATGAATTTTGTATTTACTTCATTAATTGAAGACCATTAGGAGCTAGAAGTGGCTGGGGGAAATGCACAGAGGCTGTATTCCCAAACCAATAGTCTTTGATCAAGGCTGAGTTTGGGCAGGCTGTGGAACACATGCTGATATGATACCAGTGTGCTGCATAAATGCTGCTGCCAGCACTGGGGTGAGACCTCAAAAAGCAGAGGTGGGAGTGCCATGTACTGTTTGCTGCCTCAGTGAGCCACCAGTCATTCTTCACCTCAATATGATCTTGACCCAGCCTTGTGCCACCACAACAACAAAGTACACATTTCCCCTCCAGAGGTTTCTCTTGGAAATTCCCAAATCTCTGCAAAAGAGAGGTCTCAGTGCAGAGAATAAAGCTGAAAGACTTGTGCATATAGACAAAACAAGAATATTGAGTCAGAAAGTTTCTTACTGTACAATGTTCACCTCAAATACTTAAAGTTGCAAAGTTCCCCAGACCAGATGATAGATCCTCCTTTTGAACAAACAGGCTGTGCTTCAGCCCCTTGAGCCTCTGCCAGGTGAAACACAGCAGAAGGAAAACACAAATGTCCTGCACTTCCCAGTTCACCCAGTCTGAACA